GGCTTATTAGCCGTCGTCAGCAGCCATACCCAAGCCCGAAGTGTGGAACACCCGAGCCTCGAACTCGCGACCTGTTGGTTTAGAAGTCAACGCCTCTACTCACCGGGCCACGAGCCCGTTGTCTTGTCGGTTTTCGATCGGGAATATACAGTGTTAGGGGGCGCTCACCGATCGTTCATACGGAACTCACTCGTTCCGTTGTGCCTTTTGGACTCTCTCTCGAGCCCAACCAGCAGCCGCACAGCGGCGCATGATATATAGGCAGAATGCGCCGCTGTGCGGCTGCTGGTTGGGCTCGAGAGAGAGTCCAAAAGGCACAACGGAACGAGTGAGTTCCGTATGAACGATCGGTGAGCGCCCCCTAACACTGTATATTCCCGATCGAAAACCGACAAGACAACGGGCTCGTGGCCCGGTGAGTAGAGGCGTTGACTTCTAAACCAACAGGTCGCGAGTTCGAGGCTCGGGTGTTCCACACTTCGGGCTTGGGTATGGCTGCTGACGACGGCTAATAAGCCAGAAATGGCCATTCCAGTCTCCCTTGTCTTTGTCGGTAAAGCTGTTCTGCCTATATATCATGCGTCGCTGTGCGGCTGCTGGTTGGGCTCGAGAGAGAGTCCATAAGGCACAACGGAACGAGTGAGTTCCATATGAACGATCGGTGAGCGCCCCCTAACACTATATAAAGAGGTAAATGCAATGTAAGTCTGATGGTAAAACTGCGATTGCGGGTAGTAGGACGACTACTGTCACTGAAGTAACAGACGTTTCTGATGCTACGACATATGTCTCCCGCAGGAAGAGTAAGGAAGGCGAGTGGATTCGCCCATATTGAAGTCCATACAACTAAACTACTACAAGGACGAAAACCACAATTTGTATCCAGAGGACACCTATCCCCATACGGCTACTACATGGACTGTTGCATCTAATTCTGCTGTGCGTAGGTATACTACCTCCACCTGTAGAAAAACTGCAATAGCTATATCTAATACTTTTTATACTACAACTGCATCTATTACTAATACCGGGAGGACGTCTACGTCTACGATATCGCCTGCCATGGCTGATACCGATGCTTCTGCTACTAATACAACCACTACTGTCAAAACCATTACTATTAATACTGCTGATGCTGTTACCACAACAGCAAATACTACTTTAACTACTACTACTACTACTACTACTACTACTAATACTAATACTAATACTACTACTACTATTACTACTACTACTACC